TGTAAGAATAGAGCGATTCAAGCAACACTACGATCATCTCGACAAGAAGCTTGTGGTGGTCCGGTACGTGTTGGTCAAAATTTAGTTGGTTAGAATGGTGATGACATCTTTCGGTTGCTATCTTTTGCTTCTTTTTAGGTCGTTAGGTTTTTTTTAATCTGGGTGTGAAGCTCTTCTCCCCATTATGTGCGTGTGCATGTGTGTGTGTGTGTGTGTGTGTGTGTGTGTGTGTGCGCGCGCCTACTATTTATAGGGGGCACTTTTAAGATTAACCTAGGATTTTTTTTTTATTCTGATTTTCCTTCTTTATTATTAATTAGGCCTAACCCAATGCCTAATCTAGGCCCATTTCTCCCTTTTTTTCTTTCTTTCTTTCTTTTTCAATCTTGATCTAAACCCAATTCCTCTCTTTTTTTCTTTTTCTTTTCCTTTTTTCCTTTTTTTCTTTTTTTCTTTTTATTTTTTATAGGGGTAAAAATAAAGTGATGACATTCTGCCTCCTCTTTACAATGCTTACGTGTCAAAGATGTAAGAAGATAAATCATCGAACATCTTGGCTTAGTAAGCTTGTAAAGAAGAGATGTGACAAAAAAAATACAAATCCATATAAACTAACCACTTATAGGTTATTATTACTTGAAAATGAATCAAATATACAAACCATCTTAAGGTGATTTGATTTTAAAAACGAATCAAATATATGAACCATTTTAGGGTAATTTAATTTTTAGAAATACAAGAATATACAAATTCTCTCGGAGTGAAGCAATCAAATATACGATCCCTTTTTAGGAGACTTAACTTTAAAAAGAAAATCAATCAAATATACGAGCCTTCTTGGAGGTGATTTGATTTTGAAAAAGAAAATCAATCAAATATATGAACTCTCTCGGAGTGATTTCATTTTTTTTTAAAGAAAAAAAAAAAAGAATCCATCACATATAAGAACCTTCATAGGATGAAGAAAATCCATCAAATATATAAATCCTCTCATGATGTGGGAGTGGCTGAAATATGACTTTATGCTTTTGAACGATTTTCTTAAGAGAAAGATTGGTCATCTCGATAGGGTGACCACTTGGACTTTTTTTGAAAAATCAATCATCTCTACTTGGGTGACCACCTAGATGCTTGTGAATGAATGACTTGTAAAAAAGAGATATGATTGAAAAGAGATAAATTGGTCGGCTATGACAAGGTGATCTCCTAGCAAATGGTTCACTATTATAAGATGACCCCTTAGCAAATGGTTCACTACCTATTGGTAATTTGTTCACTATTACGGAGTTGACCTACTCGTAAGTGATTTACTATGATAGGGTGACCTCCTAAACAAATGGTTCACTAAGATAGGGTGACCTCTTGGTAATTAGTTCATTCTTATAGGGTGACCTCCTATGAAAAGTTTGATGATGCTTGTTAACTTTCTTCTCATTCCTATCACAAAGAAATTGTCTTTATATTGTCCAACTAGATGGAATTCTATTTATTTGATGCTTGAAATAACCTTGTTATATAAGGATTATTTTTTTAGGTTGAAGCGTCATGAACCTCATGATAAAGTTACGCCTACCGATAATGATGGGGAATTTGTAAAGGAAATATGTGAAGATTAAAGATTTTTTATAGTATTACTCGAATTATTTTTAGAAACTCGATACCCCATGGCTAATTTGTTTTTCACTAAAATTTATGAAATTAGGGTTGCATTGACTCAATGGCTCACTTGTCCTAATCAAATGGTTAGTGAAAAGGCGGAAAGTATGTTAGTGAAGTTCAATAAGTATTGAAGTGTGATTCATGAAATAATAGGAGTAGCTATAGTTTTAGATTCTAAGTACAAAATGGATTCATTGGAATTCTATGTTGAGAAAGTTTATGGGAGTGAGGCTATGGTTCGGATTGAGAACATAAGGAAGCTTTGTTATGGTTTACTAGGCTGAGTAGCAAAAAAATATGAATGTGGATAGAGAACGTGGTAGCTCTGTTGTGGTTAATTCTAGAGCGAGTTTATGAGGATATGGAATCTAAGTTAGATTTATATGTTTTAAGGAAGAAGACCAAGGTTACTTTTGTCAAGACAAAGCTAGACTACTACTTAAATGAGGGTGTTATTCCAAAAACTAAAGATTTTGATATTCTAGTATGGTGGAAATAAATAGGGTGAAGTACCCTATTTTTATGGCAATTGCTAAGGATGTGTTGGCAATCCCTAGGCCAACTGTTGCTTTAGAATCGAGTTTTTAGTATTGGTGGTAGACTAGTAAGTCCATATCAAAGTAGACTTCATCCAAAGACGATGGAAACATTAATGTGTACTCAAAATTGAGAAGATCGAACAGCGTAGACAAACAATGGACTAAGCAACTAGCGGCTAAATTTTCATTCTTGATGCAATAAGTGAGGATAAACAACTTATGAACAAGTTTAACCAATGTGTTTTAGAGTCTTTTATAATAATAATAATAATAATAGCCTAGCATTTTCTCTAACTTATTGTATGGGATCAGAGAGAATAGAAAATTAGAATTGTGCGGAAGATTTTCTATTTTCCTGTATTTTATGGTGTTTGCTTAATTAATTTTGCAAATTTTAATTTAGGACATATATATATGCATTGCCGTATGTGGCTCTCCCTTCATAACCTAGGACACACATTTTTATGGCTAGTACTGTATGTCATGTGTAGACAACATTAAGAAATGGATGGAACTGACCGATGGAAGGATGACATAAAGGAGAAAAAAGGGATAAGGGATCAAAATTAGATTAAAAAAGATTAGGGACTAAATTCTAGTTAACCAAAAATTCAAAATAGTTTTTAATAAATTAAACGCATAATTACAATTCCCCGTTCTTTTGATTGCCGAATGAAAAGCTGGAAAACACGAAGGATTGTTCACGGGATTGAAATTGGAGTACTTAATATTCTTCAAGGACACGCATATATATGATCGATTTATTAATCGGGACATTAGACATATTAGATAGTAGGTAGGTAAAAAACATGTCGTTTTCCCATCATTATGTGTCAACAAAATATAGAAACAAGTATATTCAACACGTTTAGGATGGCCATCATCATGAATGTCTTGAACACTAAGCATCTTGGTAATAAATATGAATCAAGCAAAATATGGAATCTTTGCCTTTTCGTGTAGCAGAGAAGTGAAAAGGAATGGAATGGAATGGAATGTCAACTGTTTTTGTTTTTGCATGTGACCAGGAAATTCTTTTTCCTTACTAGCATAGCCTTCAGTCACGGGTTGAAGTTGAAAGTGACTTTGTGAAATGCGTTGGCACTCTTGATCAATGAACTAAAGAGAGTACTGTCTTTAATAGTTGCTTCGATAAGTAGCAGTGCTCCAAGGAATAAACAACAGTTTTGGTAAATAAAGACATGCGTTGTTGATCATCTCACCATCCACTGATCTGTGGGATCCATGCTCAATTATTGTCCAGGCTTTGGATTGATTTTGCTTTTTTTTTCTGAAAATATATTTAATGTAACACAATCTTTAGACTTCTTAATTAATCATGTACTTCTAATCTCTTGGTTCAATTCTTTTGAAGTCATTAGACTCTTTTGGTCGAGAAGCTCCTTTTGTTCATCTACTCAGTCACAAAGAGTAATTATGATAACTTCGGTCACATTTTCATGTTTCAATTGAACTTCTTTTTCCTTTTTTATTATTTTCAAAAGAAAAAATTATTTTTTTTACCAAACATATGCGAAACCAATCACCATTTTATAATAAGAATAATAACAAAAGATTTTTTTTTCCGATCAATCCCTTTGTCCTTCATTTTTCAAGAATAAAAAAAAAAATCGACTTTAAATTTATTCATTAGGAATCTGAACTCTTCTTTATTTGTTTATTTTATTATTTATGACATTGATTTTGGTACATCTTTTTAAAAACAAAATTATAATTTTAAATTCAAAATGAATGGTTTTAACAACTACTTACCCAGTCATTTCTGGCCTTGTGACTATTCCATTTTGGTTTTATTTTTATTTTTTTTCCTTTTTTAGCTTATAAAACAAAATGTTATCTCAATCTCTGAAAATGTATGTTTCTTTGAAATCATGAAACAAATTTGCCACAGTTTTATGCTTTCTCATCATACATAATATTATTTAATTCGTGCAAAAAACATGCTTGTCATGTAAAATTTGACAACAAATCGAAGCCCAAATTATTCTTTTCTACTTTAATATATATATATATATATATCAAAATCGTTCTGTACTAATAGATTCGACTGAACAATTTTGGAGAGCTGTCTGTTCAGAATTTTTTTTTTTTTTTGTGCAATTGTTATTCGCTAATTATAAATATCATAAGTAAAATACAATTAGTTAAACTGAAATGATAAAATAAATTTTTACAGTGCAATAAGCAAATGTCAATAACATTTTGTAATGTTACAAATTGAATAATATTTTTTTAAGGTAATAATACTCATTGAATCACAGTTGTACTACAATATCTGCAAGTAACAGAATTATAGATTAAATAGTTAATTAACAGAGGGATGAAATAAATATTTAGAATAAAATATATAAAAGCATTGAATAGAACTTGAAAGCACTAAAATTGTGATGCATTCATATAATAATAGAAAAGGCAAAAAAATTATGCACGTTCAGCATGCCATAAGCAAATCATAGACATGGTGCATGGTTTAAATACAAAGGATTTTAAACAGAAATAGACAAAATTTAACGGATTCATATATAATAAAAAAAATTTTGGGCAAGATTGCATTTTAATCACGATCACCAACTACTAAAAGAAACATAAATTTCATATAAAAATACATTAGACATCATCAAGGATCGCTAAACTTATTCGTGGTAACCGAATAAAACAGACGCACTTAACAAGCGGAAACAAGCAGCTGTTTTCCTGGCATCACACAATTCTTAATGGAAAATCATACTTCAGAGCATGCAAAAAAACACAGTAATTAAACCATGATGGAAAGGTACATATTTATGGACATTGGAAGTTTCTGGGAACCTTCTTTCCACAGACATTAAGAAGCAAGCTTAGAGAAAGTGGAATGTTAAGGTTGATGCCCAAGATGTTAGCTTTGATGGCAGTGCAAAGGCAAACAGCAGCCTCGAGATCTAGAAGGCCTTGAATGACACTGCAGCAAGGCTGTACTGGGGGTGAGCCAATGGTGACATTAAGTAATGAACCGAGCAAATCAGCGCACACACCTAATTTAAGTGCATCCCTGGGGCACTTTCCACTGGAAGGGCTTGGTGTTGGCTTTGGCTTTGGCTTTGGTTTAGGATTAGGAGAGGGGCAACCCCCTCCACATGCAGTGACGAGGGAAAAGAAGAGAAGGTTGAGTGCAAGAAAGAGAGCAAGTGATGCTGTGGTTTTGGAAGCCATTTCTATCAAATGCTAATAGCTTTCTTTGAATTTAGTAGTTACAGTGACTACTAGCTAATAGTAGGTATAGAAGAGAGCACTTGCAGTGATGGAGGGATATACACTAAGGAGTGGGATTATATAGGGCTCGAGGAGGTCCAGTCGGTTAATTTGATATTGTGACAAAATATGTACTGTAATAAGAGGAATGGAAGAAGCCCATGTGTGATATTGGGAATTTAATTAGCTGGCAGCAGACAGGTAGAATTTTAGGCAGACTTTTGGATGTTTGTGTTGGAGGGATTTGCAAATTGCCATGCTCCTTTGACCCAGCTAGGATCATTACCGTGGATCTATCTAGTTAGCCAAAATTTCCACCATTCTGGTTTCACTAATCCTGTGCATCCACAGAATAAAGATGTTCCGCCATTCCGCTTTTCTTTTATACTTTCATTCTCAATAACGGTAGTGCATATCTCTCACCTCCCTTCAATATTTGGCCACATCCTACTGCTGTCTGCTGCTGAGGTCATATTGATTTTCATGATTTTAAGTTGTCCCCAATTGTCAGTACCCTTCGAAACGCTTCTTCTTGATCAAGATTGACTTTGTAATTTAATCCTTTACCGCTTTTTTTTTAACAAGCCTAATGAATTCATTATGAAAACGAGGGTGCAAAATATAGCTATCGTTGGGCGAAGAGCAGAGACAAAATCGAACAAGTTACCAAAAAAGGCAAAGGAGTCGAGCAAAATAAAATAATTATTCATAACAAGGAAAATAAAATGACACTGACAAGGCTATAACTCAACTTGTACCGTGGAAGTACTACCCATGGGTACATATCAGGAGATACATTCCGATCAAATCATGCATAAACTTTCAGAGATAAAACCTAGTGGCCCAAAACGAAGAAATCACAGGTCAAGTTAACAAATACAAAAAAATTATTTTGAGTGTTTTTTGTTAAACATATCCAAATAATGGAGAGCTATAATTTCTATCACAGCAGGATTTTTCTATGATTTTTTAACGATTTCAGTGTAAAACAAAGAGGTTTGTAATCTTCTTCTTTTTTTCCTTTTTAATTAATTAATGTTCCATATGTACTATTTAAGAAAACAAAACTTGGATCGTGTCCCTTTAATTATATAAACTGTGTGGTAATGAACACATGGACTTCCAACTTGGCTTATTTGATTCTTATTGAAGTTAATGGCTTGCTGGATGGGAGTGTCACGGGCAACCCTAAAACCTACCGTATGGGCTCCACTGCGGATTTTGATGAAATTATGCATGTTATCGGCCGAAAATATTTAAACTTAAACCATTGTCATGATCTGTTAATTTTCCTTCCATTCACACCGTGTGGAGCCAGTTTTAGCTCCACTAGCTTGTGTTTGATTGCAATTGCTTAACCAAGTCAGCATCCAATCTTGCAACCTGTATGTGATTTGATTTTAATTATTGATTTAATATCTCCAATCACAGATCGCTATACGATTCCAATTGGTTTTATTTTGATCTAGTGATGGTGAATGTTTACGTGATAATCATGCATATTTAGAAATTCGAAGCTGACATGAGTATATTACAAACCTATATTAGTGCATTTCCTCTGTGGGCAGGTCGACGGCCACTCCATTTGTCAATATTATGTGTAGTCACTGGCCAACAGAAAATTAGCTAGGGCCTGATCCATAAGACAATTCTAACTTCTTCGATCGATTCATGACAGGAGAATATTAAATACAAAACAAGAGGATATATATTAATTCATTGAATCTACAACATCGTGGGTATGTATGTAAATCTGATCAGAAATGGCATATATATATATATATATATATAAACAAGTAGAATTTCCAATGATTTCTTTTTTCACTGTGTGGTTAGGGCAGAAGCTTAAAAGGTTCTGTCTCCGGAAGTACTTGTATCTATTTCTTTCTAGAGGTGCCTAGCTATAATAAAGTACTATATCTAGGTTAGCGCACAAGCTGCAGCTTGTCTTAGATTGAATGTCCTCGCTTCGAGAACCCTTAGCAAAACAAGCAAGCAGCTATACCTGACTTAATTGAATCTCGGATATTTAAAAAAAAGTGAAAGTTACGTACTGAAAATGATGTGATATGACTTGAGGTGCTTGACCCAGCAATTAGCTTTCATTAATATGGTAACCTAGCTTGGAGGCTAATACTCTTAAAGATCCAAATCCAAGATCCTCTCTACGTACCAGTCGCTCAAAACCACATTTACATATTTATGATGGATTTGTGTTTATCAAGAAATTTCATATATCAACATTTCACGAGGAGAGTTAGGCTCAACTAAATAAGAAAAGCAAAATTACATGAAGACTTTTTATTTTTTATTTTTAGAAACAAGGGCAGAGCTTTGATAAATTTTATTAATAGGAATAAAAATTAAGGGATACAAGGGGAGAACAATTCGGCCTAATCCATAAATTTAAGAGGACAAGAAGGTCTAACTCTTGAAAAATAATAGGACTTCGTTGCTATATCAGCATATCCAAAATACACACAAAGATATAATTTTGAAAGCTAAACCATTTACCTAATTCTCAAAGGTGACTATTATCGTCGATAAGTATGTAGACCCAATCGTCCTCCGATACGACATTCTTGCAATAAGTAGGCAAATGCGAGAAGTTATGGATGATCTTTTGAAAGATGTGTTGATAAGCCCAATTTGCCGATCAATCTACTATCGTATTACCTTTCCTATATGCGTGTCGGATGTTCATTCGAGGATGTATAAGATTCCTACGTTCCCTTATTGTATATACCAACTCCCACGGGCATGCATGACTAGCATTAAGGTAACTTAGTATTAAAGTAGAATTAGCCTTTACTATGTCCACTATAAGGTTTAAGTTGTTATAGATTTTCGATCCTTGTAACAGAGCCAATGCTTCTCCTTTAGAACTAGATCCGAGACCAAAGTGACTAGAAAATGCCATGATCATATTCACCATGTCATCTCTTAAAATTCCCCTCCACTCGTATTGAATATTCCCGGAAGATCCATCCGTGTTGAGCTTATATTTTCCTTCCGGAGGATGCTTCCATCCGATCCAACATCCTCTCTTAATTATTGGTTGGTTTACTTCCACACCCAAAGCCTCCAAACTTATTTTATCAAGGAAGCATACTCTAATTGAAGGTCTAAATAAAGAAGATAATTCTAATAACCATTTACTTACCTTGCACCTTATGGCATGTTCATTCATACATACTTCCTCAAAAGCTGATTTATTCCTTATTAGCCATATTTCCCAAAGCTAGACAGTTGCATACCATTATTCTCGCAAAATATTTCGTGATTGAGATTTACCTTTTGTGAACCAATTTCCTGCCAATTGTTAAAAATTATTTACTTTCCCTGTTGCATCCAAGTAACCTTTCAAAAAAATTCCACACTCCACTAGCTACCTCCCAATGCGAAAAGAGATATATAATCGTTTCTTCTTTTGGCTTACTACGATGAGTTGCACTTTGAAGCCATAGTTATGCCACATGTTTGTATATTCTTCTCAACTGCTAAAGCATTATGAAATATTTTTCATACTAACACTCCAATATTCTTTGGTATCCAGTTATTCCACAAGTTGTGCCACCATTAGAAATGACTGTTCTTGCTTCTCCTCTCCTCATGGTAGACTTTGGAGGAAAAATTCCTTAATTTTGATCCAAGTATAGATTCTCATATCTTTTTCATCCTCTTAAATAACAACTCTACTCAACTCATTTTGAATCATAATAGGGAGGTTTAAGAATACATGCCCGTTGAGCTTTGCCTTAGCTAGCGTGACATTCAAGTTTCTTGTAGGCATAGAAAGATTTGATGTTGTCCATTTATCTCTTCCTAGGCGAATATTTTATACTTCTACTTTCCATAATGAACGCTCCATAAGATAGCAAATGTGAGGAATTAAAGTTCTCCATACCAATGAGCCTTTCCTTTGGTTAATCCGCATTCGGAGTTTAGGTTCTCGTATTTTGCCCTTATGTAGGAACTCTATAGAGATGAAGATGACAAGAACAACCATGCTAGTTTCCCTTTTAGAGAGTTTAGCACCTCATGTAGATTTCTAATACCAAGTCCCGCTTCTTAAACTCGGATAGGAGATAGATTTCCAATTCAACCAATGGTGCATGCCGTCATCACCATTATTCCAAAAAAAATTAAAGATACGTGATTGAATTCTAGAGATTATTGTCTTTGAAACCGGTAAAACTCCCATGTCGTATATAGGAATGGAAGAAAGAAGAGTGATTCTTCCCCTAGTTGAAAGCAATCTTCCCTCCAACTCGCCACTTTATCTTTGATTCTATCTTCCATTTTTTAGAAATAAGCAACTCGTGATTTTTCCTTGAACGGAGGCATTCCCGTGTAATTCATCACCCCTGTTACTATTGAAAAACCAGTCCATCTCGCAATCATAGCCTTTCTATTTGTAAAAAGTTTCGTCGTTGCATATAAATGAGCTTTTATTGTTATTTATCTTTTGTCCATTGGCCATAGAATACTCTTGCAGAAGAACTAATAACATGTTTATGTTCCTCTTCCCACCATTACTAAAAATCAACATATCATCGGTAAAAAACAAGTGTGAGATCACATTTTTTCTAACCGTATGGTAAGGAATAAGATGACCTTCCTTTGTTAGTTTATATAGCTATCTAGAAAGAGTTTCTTCGACTAGGATGAATAATACGGGAGATAGAGGATCTCCTTACCTTACCCCTTGTTCTAACTTGAAAAATCCATGTGATAAGGAATTGAGAATTATGGAGTACCAATAATTTGACACATATTTAGAAATAAGTTCCCTACTACTTGCGTGAGAAACCAAATCGCTTAATACCCTATTCGGGAATCTCCAACCCAATCTATCATAAGCCTTGGACATGTCAACTTTGAGAATGATATTTCCTCCATGAGATTTTCTATCTAGATCGTTAAAGAGCTCTTGAGCTAATGCTACACTCTCATGTATT